AATATGGGATATATATATATATATATATATATATATATAAATATATATATATATATATTATTTGTAATAAATTCTTGGTGTTTTATTCATACAAAGTGGAACATACTATAGTATTAATTAATCTCATGTTTCTTTTTGCAGTTGTTGTACGTGGCATACTTCCTCCTTCCTTTAGCAAGATAAAGGATATCACTTTACCTCATAACACATGCAAAAAAATAACAAGGATGTATTTTGCATCTAAAAATTTTAAATAATAAAAACTACAAAATTATGTGGTCTTTTTATGAGTTTTTGTATCATTAAGAACTTTCTTTAATTATGTGAACACTTTATGTGTAATCTATATTGATATTTCCCTTTAGCATTTATGATACCATGTACTTCTCATGACATCAATTAATATAAAAAAATTTGTTAATAAATTAAAAGGTAAAAGGTTATTACATCACAAATTGATTCAATTGAAACACTTTCGTAAAAAAAAAACAAAAAAAAACTTAAAAGGCCATAAAAATTGTTCAAAAACTAAAGTAACAAAAGGTATAGATACATAAAGAGATTCAAAACTCAAACCCCAATGTAACATCCTATTAGAGCATGACAAATTAAAAAGCATAAGAATAAAGGCCTAAGCCTCATCCCTAACTAGCATTAGTCTTCAACTAAACCTTACTTTGCAATTGACATTCAACCCAAGTACAAACAAGACACAAAAGAAAGGAGTGAAATACATCTTATTCATGTTTCTAGTATGAAACAAAGGTCAGGCAACAACATACATAGTAAAGCATATAAAGATACACAATAACACATTTCAAAATCAATCACATCCAAGATTAAAAAAAATACTTTGTAATGTTTTCATATTCTAATGCAATTATGCATGCAATGCCTATTCAAAACACATTTCAAAGAGCATAGCCTAGGATTACATGTAAGTAGATGATAAGAATCATTAGGAGGAGGCTTAACCCTTCCAACAAGTGATCTCCAAAAGTTAAAAAAAGAAGAAATATCAAATTGCTACTTTTGTGCCTAGAACTTGGTCGAGAGCTACCATGTCAACCAAATCCTCATGAAGCTTCTTTATTTGGAATATTAAAGACCTTAAAATCTTTGTTCCCCTTTATACTTTGATTTCTATACTTTTATAGGCTTCTGTTAATTTTCTCCTAGTTTTTTGTTCCTTTTTTGTTGCATTTTATTAGTGGGTTTTGGTTTGGTCCCAACACTTTCTGTATTTTCTTCATTTTCATATATAGTTCCCTAGACGTTGCAAATGATTGATATAGAATATGGTGCTAACCTAGTTAGGATCACACTTTGCATAGTGATGCTTTAGCACATTCACATTTTATTAAAAAAATTACTTTTAAAATTGTTTACCTTTGATCTAGGAAGTCAATAATTTTTGCCTTAGGAAAACTAAATTGATTATAAAAGGTTTATTCATAAAGGAAAACATAGAAACACATAACTGAAGTAATAAATTAGTTCAATCTGAAGTTAGGAAAACAACCTTGATCATGCAAATTTATAAATTCAATTATTTTAAGCTTTTATTAATCAAAAGAGTTTCATCATGCACTTTTAATTAACTAGGATAAAAAGGTAAAGTACTAAAATAATATGACAATTAAGAAAAGGAATTCATTTAATTCATCATTAGGGTTCACAAGGAACAATTACATCATTATCCTAGAACATGGAAATTAGCCATATATGATAGGCGAATAGCCTAACATGGTTCTAAAATCCAAAAAACAAAGGGTGAGAATTAACAAAAAGGGGAAGAATCATCCTCCAAGGGGTTGACTTTTAGCCTCTTATAGAACCTCGACAAAGAATGAAAGAGAGAGAGAAAAAAAAATTCTAAAAACTAGATGATTATAATGTGCTCTAGACACTTGTATTTATAGTTAAAATTAAGGTGACTTTACAAGCACAACCATGCATATCAAGCAGCATGATCTTGCTTTAAAAGTATAGGTGTGCATCGCTTAAGCACAAATTGTGCATAATAGGAAGGACAATCATGCTTCCAAGCATTGGTTTGTATTTTCTAGCTTAGGGCATGCTACTAAGCATGGTCATGCATGATACTTCAACAAAGTTTTTCATCCTTTTTTGCAACAAATATGATCATAAACTAGAAAAACAGATATTAAGAGCATGATATAATGTAGCAAATTGAGGGTTTAACAGTTCTTAGTGAGGAGAAGTTGTGGAAAATAATATTATTCTCGTAGAAGGTTTTAAAATAAGTATTTTCAATTTTGTCTTGTTGTCACTTCTGATGGTAGAAATACAAAAAAAAACATTTTTTCATTTTGAATTTTTTTTATAGAATAATTCAAAGAAATGAAAAGACTTGTGTTTGTGGGCTAATAAGTATAGCCATGTATATCTATAATAGTTATCAATGATGACTAATTCATACACTTTACCAACCAAACTAGTTAGCATGTTAGTGAGTTCAAACAATTTTATATGCAACATCTCAAGTAGTCTTAAAGTGGAAATCACCTTTTTAGATTTAAAAGATGTTTTAACTTATGTCCTCTTTTGACATGTTTCACATAGAACATGACTTTTTCATGAAATCTCTAACAATCCTTTTACTAAATTTTTCTTATAAATTTTTGAAATGTGTTTTAAATTGACATGCCTAAGCTTTTGGACCAATTCCATTTTCATCTTCTTTTAAAACAAAGCATGTTACATTTTGTCTGCTTAAATTATCTAGATTGATCTCATACATATTTTTTTTCTATAGGCAATAAATAGTACAAACTCATTACTTTGTCTGACTATGCATGCACCTTTGCCAAAAGACACATTATATCTACTGCCACAAAATTGACTTATGTTAAGCATATATATAAAGCCTTACTCTTTCAACATATAAAACATTATCAATAATAGGTATAGAATCCTTACAAGTTTTACCTATATCTTTGATTTTTCCTTTGTCACTGCCTCCAAATGCGACTATTCTATCATGTGGTTACAAGTCTAGTAACATAGACCTTTCTCCCATCATGTATTGTGAGCAACTATTTTTAAGGATGTTTGCAACAGAAATCATCTAAGGCTTTGGTACCCAAATATTTTTGGGTCCTTTCTTATTAGTTCCCTTACAATTTAGTATTTTCTATCTCCTTTTTAGATTATATTTGTTCGTATAATGACCACTTTTACTACAAATGTTACAAAAAAGTGTCTTAGATTGAGGAGGGCAAAACTTGGTTTCCTTTCCTTTAAAATTAGTATCACTATTCTCATATGGTAGCCTTCTATGTTTTAAAATCATATATAGTTTTGACAAACCTTCTTCAAATTTGGTAAGATCCTTTGTAAGTTATGTGTTTCCAGCTTTCAAAGTTGTAACTTTAGATGAATCCACACTCGTGATTTTGCTTTAGAAATTTTAAATCTCTTGAGAAAACTCTAATAGATCTTTCTGAAATTTTTCTTTCCAATGCAAGAAGTTTGTATTTTTCTTTCAATTTTGTATACTCAAGAGTGATCATATATAGAAGTTTTCTAAGAGACTCTCATAGGACATCTATTCCACATCAGAACTAGAATTAAATACATCAAATGAATTAGAAACAATATTGAGATTAGTTGTTACATCAATGTTAGTTTCATTTATGTCTGCCATAAGGCATGTGTTAGTTTTTCTCATCATCTAATCTATTGTTGCTACTATCAAGATCCTCCTAGGTGACCAACAAGCAATTTTTGGCCTTCTTCTTGATTGACCATCATTTTCTGAGCTTAGGACATTTTGCCTTCATATGCCTAGGTTTCTTGCACTCGAAGATAATCTCCTTACTTTTATCCTATCTCTCTTCTTATAGAAGCTCCTAATTCTCCCATTCTTTTTAAACATGCTCTTGAACTTTTTAGAAACTAACATTGATGTATCAACTAATCTCAATATATTATGGTCAAATCGAACCTTTAGGGCTTTCCTTTTCTCCTTCCTCTTATTGGTTTCACTTGTTATGAGGGAAACATAATCATTTGGCTTGATATGATTCTAGTTATTCAAGTGAACCTCAAGAACTCTAAGCATACCCAAGAGCTCATCAAGAGTGAGAACCATTGTTACGTGCCTCAACAATCACTACAAAAAACTATTGATTAGTGACCAAATTTTGCGACTGAATGTCATCAATCCCAATTAGCAACCGATTTAGCAACTGATTACCTAAATTGTAGTAGCGACGGATAGATTAGTCACTAGCAAAATAAAAACATATCGGTTGCTAAACCGGTAGCAATTGTTATTTTTTATATATAAATTAATATGAAAAGTTTTGCAACCCAACAAATCGGTCACTAAACAAATATTATTAGCGACTGAAAATATCAGTCACTAATTGAAATAAGAATAAAAAAATATAGTACTTAGCAACTGAATATTCGATTGATAAATAAGTTATCAAAAATCTTCAATAAAAAAAATATTATAATATAGTTTCTTTTGTATAAATGAAAATATTTAAATTAGAAGTATGTTATATTAGTGGGAAAAAGAGTTGATACTCCTGTATGTTTATTTAGAAAATAAAAAGTGTATATTTAAAAAATAAGAAAAGAAAAAATAAATAGAAAGTATCTATAAAAAATAATAGAATTTAAATGATAGTATGTGATTTGTGATTAGAGTTTCAATATTATGAAGAAATTATAATAGTGAAAATGATCTTAAAAAAAATAGTAGACACTAAAAACACAATGTCATATCTCCTTTATATATAATATATAAGTATAGATATAAAATTATAATAATGTTTTTAATATATAAGTAATAATAATAATATCTCCTGTATTGTATTCTAATTTTTTCCACCAAAATATAATTAATAATAAAAATAAGAAAAAATTACCTATAAGAATAAATAAGTACTTTCTCTAAAAAATAATTAGTACACACATGTTATTTTTTTTATTGAAAAAACAATTACTTCTTTTTTTCCATTAGATATGAAGTACCTTTTTTCATACTAATAAAAATAATGATAGTAGTAATTGTAATAACAATTTACAATATTTTTTGTACAAAATAATTCAATAAACAAAGCACAATTAATCTTGATTATAGTATTTATTATTAAGGCCTAATTAAATTGAAGTGTTACAAAACAATGGATTACGACCAAATTAACAAAAGTAATTGACCTATACTCTATTATATTAAAGTCTTTAAATAATGACGAATCAAAGTCCAAATAATGATGAAATGTTATCCAAATGAACAAATAACACATAAATATTGGATCAGAACGGGTCGTTCCAGATGACAAAAAAACACATAATGAATAGAACGGAACGGCCCGTTCCAAAACCAGAAC